TCAGAACCGCACAGCCTCATGGAAACTGAACAACTTGCTCTTGAATGTTGACTGGATAAACAATGAAATGAAGGCAGAGATAAAGATGTTCTTCAAAACCAACGAGAATGAAGACACAACGTACCAGAACATTTAAAGCAGTGTCTAGAGGAAAATATGTAGCAATAAATGCCCACATGAGAAGCAAGGAAAGCTCTAAAACCGACACCCTATCATCAAAATTGAAAGAACTAGAGGAGCCAGATCAAAAAAACCTCAAAACCTAGCAGAAGCAGCCATGGCTTTTGAATCACTGGGAACCTCTTGTAATGCAAATTCCTTGGCACCACCCCAGACTTACTATGTGAGAAATTCTGGGGTGGAGACTAGCAATCTGAATTTTTTTTTTTAATTTTTTATTTTTTAGGCAGAGTCTCGCTCTGTTGCCCAGGTTAGAGTAACAGTTATGCGATCTCAGTTTACTGCAACCTCCGCCTCCCAGGTTTCAAGTGATTCTCCTGCCTCAGCCTCCTGAGTAGCTGGGATTATAGGCGAGTGCCACCAGGCCCAGTTGGTTTTCTGTATTTTTAGTAGAGATGGAGTTTTACCGTGTTAGCCAGGATGGTCTCAATCTCCTGACCTCGTGATCCGCCCACCTCAGGCTCCCAAAGTGCTGGGATTACAGGCGTGAGCCACCATGTCCAGCTGCAATCTGAATTTTAACAAACCTGCCAAGTTATTCTGATGCACCAAAATGTGAAAAACCCTGTGCTAAAAGAAAGATGAGGTTAAACGTTTTTTATAAAACAGCTTTATTGAGATATAATTCACACCACTCACTCAAGTGTACAAGTCAATGATTTTTAGTATATTTACAGGGTTGTGCAACCATCACTACTGAAATAGTTTGTAATTAATAGGTTTAAAACAAACAAACAAACAACAACAACAAAAAAAAAAACACTCGCCGGTCATGGTAATTCCTGCCAGTAATCCCAGCACTTTGGGAGGCAGAGGCAGACAGAGCACTTGATGTTAGGAGTTTAAGACTAGCCTGGCCAACATGGTGAAACCCCTGTCTCTGCTAAAAATACAAAAGTTAGCTGGGTGTGATAGCAGGTGCCTGTGGGAGGCCGAGGTTGCTGTGAGCTGAGATCGTGTCATTGCACTCCAACCTGGGTGACTGAGCAAGACTTTGTCTCAAAACAAATGAACAAACAAACACCCTAAAAGAAACCCTGTACTAATTAGCAGCCACTCCCCATTTCCCTCCCATCCCCTACTCCCAGCCTTAAGCAACCACTAAGCTATTTTGCCTTAATAGATTTGCCTATTCTAGACATTTCACATGAATGGAATCACACAATATGTATACGATTCCTGTGACTGTCTTTGTCTACTTTGTGAACTATTTGTAAAGTTCCTCCATGTGGTAGCACATATCCCTTTTATTTACAAATAATATCCCATGGAATAATATGACACATTTAAAAAATCCGTTTATCAATTGAACATTCATGTGTTTCTACCTTTTGGCTATTATGAATAATCCTATGAATATTCACATACAAGTTTTTTGTGTAGACGTATATTTTCATTTCTTTTGAATATATATATGTGTATATATGTATGTGTGTATATGTATATATATGTAATTTTGTTTGGTTTTGGTTTCATTTCTTTTTTTTTCTTTTGTAAAGACAGGGTCTCCCTTTGTTACGCACACTAAATTTGAATCCTGGGCTCAAGTGATCCTCCTGCTTCAGCCTCCTTCTGAGTAGCTGGGACAACTGATGTGCTCTATATGACACACACACACACACACACACACACACACACAAGTAGCTGGGACAACTGGTGTGCTCTATATGACACACACACACACACACAAGTATGACTGCTGGGTCATAGATTACTGTTAACCACTCCCACATTTCAGCTTGTCTTACTCTGCTATGACTTAATACATACATTATCAAATTGAGAAAAAAATAAAAAATTATCAGTAATACTGATAATCACTTTGATCTATTGAGTGTTTATGTTTGCAAAGCCTTTACTTTTTTTTTTTTTTTCTTTTTTTTTTTGGAGACATGGTCTCACTCTGTTGCCCAGACTGGAGTGCTCTGGGGAGATCTCTGATCACCACAACCTCTGCCTTCTAGGCTCAAGAGATTCTCCTGCCTCAGCCTCCTGAGTAGCTGGGATTACAGGTGTATGCCAGCACACCTGGCAAATTTTTGTATTTTTAGAAGAGACAGGTTTGACCATGTTGGCCAGGCTGGCCTTGAACTCCTGACCTCCAACGATCCACCTGCCTTGGCCTTCCAAAGTGCTGGTATTATAGGTGTGAGCCACTGTGCCCAACCTACATACTTTTTTTTTTTTTTTTCTTTTTCAGAGACAGTGTCTTACTCTATGGCCCAGGCTGGCCTCCACCTGTCCTCAAGCAATCCTCCTACCTCAGCCTCCCAAAACACTGGGATTACAGGCATGAGCCACTGTGCCCCTTTACTTTCTTTTTCTTTAGACAGAGTTTTGCTCTTGTTGCCCAGGCTGGAGTGCAATGGTGTGATCTCAGCTCACCACAACCTCCACCTCTTGGGTTCAAGCTATTCTCTTGCCTCAGCCTCCCGAGTAGTAGGGATTACAGGCATGTGCCACCACACTCAGCTAATTCTGTATTTTTAGTAGAGACATGCTTTTTTTTGAGACAGAGTTTCACTCTTGTTGTCCAGGCTGGAGTGCAATGGTGTGATCTTGCTCACTGCAACCTCTACCTCCTGGATTCAAGCAATTCTCCTGTCTCAGCCTCTTAAGTAGCTGGGATTATAGGCATCTGCCACCATGCCCAGCTAATTTTTTTTTTTTTTTTTTTTTTTTGTATTTTTAGTAGAGATCAGATTTTACCATGTTGGTCAGGCTGGTTTCAAACTCCTGACCTCAGGTGATCTGCCTGCCTCGGCCTCCCAAACTGTTGGAATTACAGGTGTGAGCCACCTAAAGCCCGGCCACCCCTTTACTTTTATTGTGACTAATCTTCACCACTACCCTATACAACAGGAATCAATATCCTCGATATACAGAGAAGAGAAACTGCTGGAGTTTCTTTTCAGGTGATCTGTCAGGTGACCTGTCTAAGTTCAAGCAAGCTTATGTGGGGTGGAGTTGGGACCACAACTCTCAGTTGGGTGGGAGTTGGGACCCACATCTGCCTGCTCTCTGTGCCTTCTGTTCTTGATCTCCTGTCATGGGCCATCCCCTTTGCCAAAGCTTTCGAAATGTGCCTTCTCCCCTCATTTCAGGCCTTTTCTGGAAAGTCAGGCTGGCTGGAAGCTCTCACCCCAAGCTCTTTTCCCCAGCTGGGGCTGAAGGCTAGGGAGGGGCTTCCTGGGGGCTGGAAATAAATGAAGGGAGGGCTGGGCAGGACAGGGCAGTATTTCCAGGAGACTGTGAGGGGGAGGTAAGGAGTTTGTTATTGTTTTGGGTTTGGGGTTTTTTTTTTTTTTCTTTGCTCCTGGGGAGCAGGTGAGGTAGTGCTTGGTAGAGTTTTGCTGGGGATAGGAAGTGGGTGAGGCTGAGGCAAGCAGAATTCTCCTGCCTCAGACTCCCACGTAGCTAGAACCTGAGCTACTGTAGTGCTAGGTGGGGAAGAGGGCTTTCTGCCTCTGTGGGACCTGGTCTGGAAAGTCTCCCAAATTGTTAAAAGGAGAGAATGAGTGTCTCCAACTGGCAAAAGGGGGCTTTTGTTCCATGTCCACTCCTTGTGCCCCTTGCTCTGTGCGAAGCTCTACCTGTGTTGGGGGTTGGGAATAGGAAGAGGACCTCAGCGCCAGGCACCCAGGGACTGGGGGGCTACAGCAGAAACAGACACAGAGGCATCCTTGGCTAGGAAGGGCAGGATGAAGGGGTAATAATTCTGTGAGCCGTTTAAGAAGGCTTTCCTTTTAAAGAGCAGAAAGCAGTGAAACTGAGGCTTCAAGGCTGCACACGTTTTGCCCTGGATCAGAGAAAGGCACTGAAGGTGGAGGGAACTATCTGTGCAAAGACTTGGGGCCTTCAAGAGCTGGAGCACAGAGGTTTAGGAGAGAAAGTGGTGAGAGATGAGCCTAGGGCTATCTGCTTAGACCTGTGGTCTAATATGGGTGCCAAAAGCCACATGGAAAGGTGGCTATTTAAATTTAAATTAGTGAAAATTAAATAAAGTAAAAAATACTGCTCCTGGGCTGGGTGCAGTGGCTCACACCTGTAATCTCAGCACTTTGGGAGGCCAAGGCAGGCAGATCACCTGAGGTAAGGAATTCAAGACCAGCCTGGCCAACATGGTGAAAACTGATCTCTACTAAAGATTAAAAAAAAAAAAAAAAAAAAAAAAACACAAAAAATTATCTGGTTGTGGTGGCAGGTGCCTCTAATCCCAGCTACTTGGGAGGCTGAGGCAGGAGAATTGCTTGAACCCAGGAGGTGAAGGTTGCAGTGAGCAAGATCGCGCCCTTGTACTCCAGCCTGGGCAACAAGAACTAAACTCTGTCTTTAAATAAAAAAAAAAAAAGGCCTGGCACAGTGGCTCACACCTGTAATCCTAGCACTTTGGGAGGCTGAGGTGGGTGGATTGCCTGAGCTCAGGAGTTTGAGACCAGCCTGGGTAACACGGCAAAACCCCATCTTAGGGAAAAAAAAAAAAAAAAAAAAAAAAAAAGCAGCTCCTGAATCACACTACTAGTTATATTTCAAGTACTCAATAGCTACATGGGGATAGTAGCGATGGTATTGGAGAATATGTGCACAGCATGCCTCTATTATCACAGAATGCTCTTTTGGCCAGTGGGAAGCCTCAGGAAGGGGTTAGGATTGCTCAAGGACCCATAGGAGAGAGCAGGGTTAGATTGGGCTGGCTGCCTGCCTGTGAGGTCTCTGGACTAGAGGTGAGGGAACAGTCCCTAGAAGTGTGAGGTGGAGTGACTCACCTCCTGCCAGCATAAAGTGGACTCTGTCCCCAGGGACAGGAACAAATCAGGCAAGGCTTTTTCAGCCCTAACTTGGGATCTCTGCTCAGTTTGACCAGAGCCAGGGGCTGAGAAACATGGAGTGAGTGGGACTGAGGCAGGAGCAGCAGCTGCTGAGTGAGGCTGAGCCTGAGCACTGAGTCAGGAGAGGGGAGGGGTCTCCAGCTTGGTCTTGGTTGGCATACATGGGGTCGGACAGGAGAGGGGCTGGGGGAGGTGTGTGTGAGTTGGGATAGGAGACCAGGGCAGAGGTTTGCTGAACAGGGGTTGGGTTTTACCATGTCTAACAATTAGAGAGATGGGAACCCTCTTATTCACTCTGATGAGTTGTTTCTGCTTCCTTTCCAGGTCCAGCACAGTCCAGCTGACGAGGATGGAATATGCCATGAAGTCCCTTAGCCTTCTCTACCCCAAGTCCCTCTCCAGGTGAGGAAAGCCAGGGGCAGAAGGGAAAGGGATCCACCTATGAGCTGTAAGCCAGAGCTTCTCAAACTTTAACATGTATGTGGATCACATGAGATCTTGTTTAAGTGCAGATTCTGATTCAGGAATCAGAAGTGGGACCTGAGATTTTGCACTGCCGACAAGCCCCTGGGTGATATTAATGGGCGCCACCACCGCACCGTGCATAGAAAGGAGTAGACACTATGCTTGGTGCTTTCACTCCTGATCTCATGTAAGCCTCACAACAATTTTGGGAAGTGGGGGTTGTTATATCAAATTAATAGGTGATAGAACTGAGGCACACAGTGGGTACTCTCAATCCCAGCAAATCCATGAGGGAGCCCAGATTCTAAAATGAGACTGCCTGTCTATAAAATCCAGGTCCTCTTCATTCCTTTGGTGCTAAATTGAGTGCTTCAGTTAAAAAAATACCTTACATTGACTTCAGGCTTCCCCCACTTCATCCAACTTTACAGGTGAGGAGAATGAAGCCAAGAGAGGTGGTAATTGGGAGAATGCAGGGTGGGTCTTTTATCATGTTGTTGCTTACTTCTCGTGGTCTGAGAACCAGCATATCAACATCACTTGGGAACTCGTGAAACATTTGCAATTTCAGGCCTCACTCAGGTCTACTCAATTAAAATCTCTGTTTGAACAGATCTCCTGGTGACTTACATGGCCTTCAAAGTTTGAGACGCACTGCTAGAGCAGCCTTTTTTTTTTTCTTTCTTTTTTTTTTTTTTGAGACAAGGTCTCGCTCTGTTGCCCAGGCTGGAGTATAGTGGCGCCATCGCAGCTCACTGCAACCTCTGCCACTTCCTGGGTTCAAGTGATTCTCGTGTCCCAGCCTATGGAGTAGCTGGGATTACAGGCATGGGCCACCACGCTGGCTAATCTTTGTATTTTTAATAGAGATGGGGTTTTACCGTGTTAGCCAGGCTGGTCTTGAACTCCTGACTTCAAGTGATACGCCCACCTCAGCCTCCCAAAGTCCTGGGATTACAGGCATTAGCCACCGTGCCTGGCTCCTAGCAGGCTTTTGAGTAAGACTAGAGTAGGACTGGCAGGTGATGGGGGGTTGGCTGATCATGAACCCCGTGTGGACGGGTGGGGAGGTGGCTCCCCTGTGTGGTGGGTGAGGGCTGGGCTAAGTGGTCAGCTCACCCCGATGCTCCAACTGCCCCAGGCGTGTGGCAGTGTGTACCTCTGTGGTGACCCAGCAGCTGCTGTCGGAGCCCAGCCCCGAGGCCCCCAGGCCCCGGCCCTGCCGTGTAAGCACTGCGGATCGAAGCGTGAGGAAGGGCATCATGGCTTACAGTCTTGAGGACCTCATTCTTAAGGTGAGAGTGCCCTGAGTGTTGCACAGCCCAGCTGTGAGCTGGGATTCAGCAGAGATGGAGGTCAGGGCTTAGAAAGTGACACGGTTTCCTTTCTGATACCAGTGCCTACTGATGGTAATGCCAGCCTGGAGAGTTGTCCAACTGAGTAGCAATGGCTGATGTCTGTTTGGTAACAGGAGGAGGGCAGTATGTACGTTACCATCGTATGCTATCAGTAGGTCAGTGTTATTTTCAGGGCACATTTTTCTTGCTGGAAAATACCTGGCTTCCCTCTTCCATCAGTTCTTAAACTTGTAGAAATGCCTGAAAATTAGGGAAATGAGCATGAGTTTAGAGATTCCCTTCCCATCTCCTACCTTCAGCCAGGGCAAGTTCTCCTTAAATGTGCCTTCCAAAGAGGAACTTCATGGAAGGCTTTGTTAATAACTGTGGAAGACTTTCCTCAAAGTATTGATTGGGCCAGCTTCCAGAGAAGGAAACCAGGGGCACACAGCTATTGTGGACAGTACTAACAGCAGGCAAGAAAGACAGGCTCCCCCATTCCTATTATCTGTTTCCACTTTGTTGGGCGTAACTTTCCCCCTTCCCCTCTCACAGCCTCTTCTCATCTTGCTCTGTATTAGTCACACAGTCACACGGGCACCAGCTTAAATGGCCCATTCGCTGATCATCTCATCTCTTCTTTTTTTTTTTTTTTGAGACGGAGTCTCGTTCTATCACACAGGCTGGAGTACAGTGGCGTGATCTCGACTCACTGCAACCTCCACCTCCCAGGTTCAAGCAATTCTCCTGCCTCAGCCTCCTGAGTAGCTGGGACTACAGACACATGACACCACGCTCGGCTAATTTCTTTGTATTTTAGTAGAGTTGGGTTTTCACCATGTTGCCCAGGCTGGTCTCGGACTCCTGAGCTCAGGCAATCTGCCCACTTCAGTTTCCTAAAATGCTGGGATTACAGGCACAAGCCACTGTGCACAGCTCAAGATGAAGTCTTGCTCTGTCACCCAAGCTCTAGTGCAGTGGCGTGATCTTGGCTCACTGCAGCCTCCTCCTCCCAGGTTCAAGCGATTTTTGTGCCCCAGCCTCCTGAGAAGCTGGGACTACAGGCACACACCACCATGCCCAGTTAATTTTTGTATTTTTAGTACAGATGGGGTTTTGTCATGTTGGCTAGGCTGGTCTCAAACTCCTGACCTTAGGGGATCCCAACTGTGCCTTCCAAAGTGCTGGGATTACAGGCATGAGCCATCGCACCCATCCTCGATGATTATCTTGATGGGGGTGGAACCCTCTTACCTGCAATCCCAGGTGCCTGGTACAGGTCAAATGTTTGCATTAAGCTTCTAATTATTAGACCAATTGTAACATAAATTACAATTTCGTGTAGAAATCATAGCTAAGCTCTTTAAGTTTCCTCCCCTATTTCTGTGTATTAGTTCTGTTCTTCTAGGGAGCCAGTTTCCCCTCCTTTGTAAGGCTTCTGGCTGTGCACACTACATTTCTTGTGCTTTCAATCAAAAGGATTAATTCATACTCTAGTCTGGACTTGGTGCTGTTTTTTTTTGCCCTGAAGTCTTGCCATTCCTGGCATCAAAATGTCCTTGTATATGGCTTCCCCTGGAGGAAGGAACTGCGAACTAACAGTACCTTACATTGTACATAGTACAAATACAATATAAAACTTTTCCTGAATCATTTGAGAGTAAGTTGCCAACTTGCTGCTTGTTACTCTTAGATACTTCAATGTGCATTTTCTACAAAGGAGGATATTCTCCTGTGTAGCCCTCATGTAACTATTAAAATCAGGAAACGGTATTACATTACATTACTGTAATTGAATCCTGAGACTCAAGCATTGCCAGTTGTCCCAATAATACCCTTTGTAGCAAAAGGACCCAGGTCAGGATCAAGTGTTTATTTAATTGTGTGTCTCTTTAGTTTCCTTCAGTCTGGAACAATTTCTCAGTCTTTCCTTGACTTTTACAGCCTTGACTATTTTGAAGATTATGTGCCAGCTATTTTTGTTTACTGTCCCTTGGTTTAGAACTATCCGTTTCTTTAATTCAGGTTGTATATCTTTGGCGGGAATATGATAAAAATAAGTTGCAGGCCAGGTGTGGTGGCTCACGCCTGTAAACCTAACATTTTGGGAGGCCGAGGCAGGAGGATTGCTTGAGCCCAGGAGTTCAAGACCAGCTGGGGCAACATAATGAGACTGCATTTCTACAAAAATAGTACAAAAATTAGCTGGACATGGTGGTGTGCACCTGTAGTCCCAGTTACTCACGAGGCTGAGGCAGGATGATCGCCTGAGCCTAGGAATTTGAGGCTACAGTAAACTGTGATTGCACCACTGCATTCTTTTGTGTGATAGAGTGAGACCCTGTCTCAAAAAATTTTAAGAAAAGATTGTCATTGCAAAATTATGTGCAATTTTGATTTGTCACCTTACTATTTTGTTTTGATTATTCAAATAAGGTGGTAGGTATAGTTAAGCTTCTTTGTGTAACATTTTTCCCTCTGTTTTTTATTTTCTAGGTCAATATTTTGTACTAAGTAAACACTGAATTCTGCGTTTGTCAGTGTATTCACTTGCTGTTTTTTAGAGAAAGGGTCTTGCTCCATTGCCCAGGCTGGAGTGCAGTGGTGTGATGATGGCTCACTGCAGCCTGAAACTCCTAGGTGTAAGTGATCTTGTCACCTCAGCCTCCCGACTCGCTAGGATTATAGGTACATGATCTCACACCTAATTTTTTATTTTATTTTATTCTTTTTAATAGAGATGGGGTCTAGCTATGTTTCCCAGGCTGGTCTCAAACTCCTGGTCTCAAGTGATCCTCCCATCTTGGCCTCCCAAAGTGCTGGGATTAGAGGCATGAGCCACCACACCTGGCCTGTTTATTTATTCATTTATATCAAAAGGGATAAACATATTCCTATTTTAGTAGAATATATGAATGGTAACAGATTATTTATTGATGCTCAAGTGGTCCCATACTTGTCTGGTTGAATATCTTTCAACCTCCACTTCCGTGTCTTTTTATCATGTCCCCATCATTCTTTGCATGCTTTCTTACTTTCTGGTGCAGCAAAGTATTACAGGCTCATCTTGTATTTTCCCTGCCCCAGTTCTTGAATTGGTCATTTTTTCTAAGGAGGTCTGCTTCATTTTAGCGGAGAATGGTGTTCAGAAACCAAGACCAGGAAGCTAGGTATGCTCATTGCTATTGGTGTGTTGCTGATCCCAGGCCATTACTGAAAGATTTTTAAGTAGCAAAATATATTCCTTAGTGAATCCAAGCAAGAAAAGTGAAGTGAGAATTCCATTGTTCCAAGATAACTAATGATGTGATTGTAAATGTCCTAAGGAGTCTATTCTTATTATGGACCATGCATTTTGGCAGGTGACTTGCAGCATTTCTTCTCATGAGAGCCTTAAGGTAGTTACCACTATTTTCATTCTCCAGAGGCAGAGGCCAAGTACATTCAGTGGGATTGAAACCCAGGCAGTTAACCCAGGTTGTGACACTTTTGCATTTAATCACTGTAACAATTTAAAAACTGTACTTGCAGCTGGGCGTGGTGTCTCACACCTGTAATCCCAGCACTTTGGGAGGCTGAGGCGGGCAGATCACCTGAGGTCAGGAGTTTGAGACCAGCCTGACCAACATGGAGAAACTCCATCTCTCCAAAAAAAAAAAAAAAAAAAAAAAAAAAAAAAAAAAAAAAAATTACTGGGTGTGGTGGTGCATACCTGTAATCCCAGCTGCTCTGGTGGCTGAGGCAGGAGAATCACTTGAACCTGGGAGGTGGAGGTTGCAGTGAGCCGAGATCACACCATTGCACTCCAGCCTGAGGAAAAAGAGTGAAACTCCATCTAAAACAAAACAAAACAATACTTGTCTCAACTTTTTTTTTGATTATGAAACTAGTTCAGAGAAGTGAGATAAGTAAAAATGGACAATAGACCTAAATGTAAGAGCTAAAACTATAAAACCCTCAGAAGAAAACATAAACATAATATGTAAGTCTTCATTACCTTGATTTCCTAGATACAGCACCAAAGCAAGGCAACCAAAGGAAAACAACTAGACTTCATCAGCAATAAAACCTTTTTTTTTTTTTTTTTTTTTTTTGAGACGGAGTCTTGCTTTGTCTCCCAGGCTGGAATGCAGTGGTGCAATCTAGGGTCACTGCAACCTCTGCCTCATGGGTTCAAGTGATTCTTGTGTCTTAGCCTCCTGAGTAGCTGGGATTACAGGTGCCTGCCACCACATCCAGCTGATTTTTTGTATTTTTAGTAGAGACAGGGTTTTACCATGTTGGCCAGGCTGGTCTCGAACTCTTGACCTCAGAAGATCCACCTGACTGTGCTTCCCAAAGTTCTGGGATTACAGGCTTGAGCCTAAAACTTTTATACATCAAGAGATGCTATCAAGAAAGTAAAAAACACAACCACAAAATGGGAGAAAATACTTGCAAATCATATAGCTGATAAGGGTCTAATGTTAAGAATATATAGAGAGCGCTTACAACTGAACAATACAAAGACAACCCAATTAAAAATGGGCAAAGGATTTGAGTAGAGATATTTCTCTGAAGAAGATACACAGTGGCCAACAAACACATGAAGAGATGCTTGGCTGGACGCATTGGCTCATGCCTGTAATCTAGCACTTTTGGAAGTTGGAGGCGGGCAGATTGCTTGAGCCCAGGAGTTCAAGACCAGCCTGGGTGACATGGCAAAACCCCATTTCTACAAAAAAAAATACAAAAATTAGCTGGGAATGGTGGTGCATGCCTGTAGTCCCAGCTACTAGGGAGACTGAGGTGGGAGGATCACTTGCGCCTAGGAGGCTGATGCTGTAGTGAGCCGTGATGGCACCACTGCACTCCAGCCTGGGTGAGAGGGCAAGACCCTGCTTTAAAAAAAAAAAAAAAAAAAAGGCTTAGCATCATTAATCATTAGGGGAGTGCAAATGAAAATCACTTCATCCACTAAAAAGTGGCTCTAAGGCCGGATGTCATGGCTTATGCCTGTAAAATCCAAGCACTTTAGGAGTCTGAGGTGGGAGGGTTGACTGAGCAACCAGGAGTTTGAGAACAGCCTTGGCAACATGGTGAAATACTGTCTCTACTTAAAAAAAAAAGAAAGAAAAAAAGAAAAAAATTGATTTGAAAGTAGATATAAAAAGGATTTTTGGCTAAAATACAGACAATAAAAGCATCAGTGAGGATGTAAGGAAACTGGAATTCTCATACATTGCTAGTGGGGAGGTAAAATGATACAACCACTTTGTAAAACAGTTTGGTAGCTCCTCAGAGTTAAATATAGGCCCACTGTGGTGGCTCACACTTCTAATCCCAGAATTTTGGGTGGCTAATGAAGGAGGACTGCTTGAGCCCAAGATTTTGAGACCAGCCTGGGCAACAAGGCAGGATGCTGTCTCGACCAAAAAAAAAAAAAAAAAAAAAAAAATTAGCCAGACCACGTGGCACAAGCCTGTAATCTCAGCTCCTTGGGAGGCTACAGCGTGAGAATCACTTGAACCCAGGAGGTTGAGGCTGCAGTGAGCTGTGATCCTACCACTGCATTCCAACCTGGGTGAAAGAGCAAGACCTTGTCTCCAAAAAAGGAAAAAAAAAATTTTTTTTAACATAGCGTTAATGTATGACTCAGCAATTCTACTTTTAGGTATATACCCAGGAGAATGGAAAACATATGTTCATATAAAAACTTGTATACAGGGACCAGGCGTGGTGGTTCATGCCTATAATGTTGGCACTTTGGGAGATAGAGGTGGGTGGATCGTGTGAGGTCAGGAGTTCGAGACCAGCCTAACCAATATGGTAAAACCCTATCTCTACTAAAATTACAAAAATTAGCTGGGTGTGTTGGTGTACATCTGTAGTCCCAGCTACTCAGGAGGCTGAAGCAGGAGAATTGCTTGAACCCGGGAGGCAGAGGTTGGAGTGAGCCAAGATCACACCATTTAACTCCAGCTTGGGCAACAGAGCGAGACTCCATCTCAAAAATTAACAAAAATTAAAAATTAAAAAATAAAAACTTGTACACAAAACCTCACTCATAGCAGCATTACTCATAATAGTCAAAAAGAATCACTCCAAGTGTTCATCCATTATAAATAGATTTTAAAATGTGGGATATATCTATATAGTAGAATATTATTTAGCCCCCCACCACCCTCAGCAACAACAAAAAAACACATGAATCACTTCCAGGCATGATAGCACATGTCTGTAATCCCAGCACTTTGGGAGGCTAAGGTAGGAGGATCCCTTGAGGCCAGGTGTTTGAGATCAGCCTAAGCAACATAGCCAGACACCATCTTTACAAAAAACATAAAAATTAGGCAGATGTAATAGCATGCACCTGTAGTCCCAGGAGGATTGCTTGTGCCCAAGAGTTTGAGGCTGCAGTGAGCTATGATTATGTCATATGCTCTCCATTTATGTTTATGATATGTTTATGATATGATATGATACTGCATTCCAGCCTATTAGTCACTGCACTATTAGATAGTGGTGATGGTTGTACAACTTTTTGAATATACTAAAAAACCGTGAATTGTATACTTTTAGAGGGTAGCTTTTAGAGGATGTAAACTATACCACAATTAAAAATTATATATGGCCGGGTACGGTGGCTCATGCCTGTAATCCCAGCACTTTGGGAGGCCAAGGCGGGTGGATCACAAGGTCAAGAGATCGAGACCATCCTGGTCAACATGGTGAAACCCCGTCTCTATTAAAAGTACAAAAAAAAAAAAAAAATTAGCTGGGCACGGTGGCACGTGCCTGTAATCCCAGCTACTCAGGAGGCTGAGGCAGTAGAATTGCCTGAATCCAGGAGGCGGAGGTTGTGGTGAGCCGAGATCCCACCAATGCACTCCAGCCTGGGTAACAAGAGCGAAACTCCGTCTCAAAAAAAAAAAAAATATATATATATATATATATATATATATATGACTTACATTATATTTTATGGAACAATATTATTCCAGACTATGAACCCTGAAGCCAGGAGCCAAGAGGTATCATGATAAAGTCTCTGGGTAGTGATTCCACAGCAGAGGGCCTGGGCTCCTGTTCCACCTCGCAGATCCCAGCCCACTTGTTCTTTCCCTGGTAGCCAAGGAGCTATGATGTGGGGTTTCACCACACTGGCTCTGTGGCTCCATAGGGATGGCAGAAGCATCACTGACCTTATTCCCCAGGTTCAGGACACTCTGATGCTGGCAGACAAGCCCTTCTTGCTGGTGCTGGAGGAAGATGGCACAATTGTAGAGACAGAAGAGTACTTCCAAGCCCTGGCAGGGGATACAGTGTTCATGGTCCTCCAGAAGGGGCAGAAATGGCAGCCCCCATCAGAACAGGTGAGGTCCCACTTGTCAGGGGAGAAAATCAGGACCCTGGGAGAAATCTTCAAGGGGTGCTAACCATCTGCTTGTCTCCACACAGGGGACTAGGTACCAACTGTCCCTCTCCCATAAGCCTGCCAAGAAGATTGATGTGGCCCGTGTTACCTTTGACTTGTACAAGCTGAACCCACAGGACTTCATTGGCTGCCTGAACGTGAAGGCGACATTTTATGATACGTACTCCCTTTCCTACGATCTGCACTGCTATGGGGCCAGACGCATCGTGAAGTGAGTGAATTGGGATTTGGTGGGGACAGGGCAGGTACAGGCAATGGGAGAGCCCCTGTCTGTTCACGTGGACTCAGCCTGGGTCTGACATTGGTGCTGACAAAGCATAGCCTGTAACAGACAACACGGAGCCTGATGGGTTCTTGAAGTGCTGTGGATGACACTGGCGTGTGACCAAGGGCCACACATGTTCCTCCTGGTAGAACCTGGATGCATTTTGTTTTTATGACTACCTTAGCAACTACATTTTTAAATTGAAAATAGGAAGTTTTCCTAAGTAGTATTCTAGTCAATTTTTTAAAAATGAACATGCGTTGGCCAAGCATGGTGACTCACACCTGTGATCCCAGCACTTTGGGAGGCCAAGGCAGGTGGATCACTTGAGATCTGGAGTCTGAGACCAGCCTGGTCAACATGGCAAAACCCGATCTCTACAAAAATACAAAAATTAGCCAGGCATGGTGGTACATGCCTGTAACCTCAACTACTCAAGAGGCTGAGGCAGGAGAATTGCTTGAACCTGGGAGGCGGAGTTTGCAGTGAGCTGAGATTGTGCCACTGAACTCCAGCCAGGACAACAGAGCATGACTCTGTCTCAAAATAAGAAAAAAAAAGTAGTACGTGTCAAAGATTTTTTTTTTTTTTTTTTTTGAGATGGAGTTTTGCTCTTGTTACCCAGGCTGGAGTGCAATGGCGCGGTCTCGGCTCACCGCAACCTCCGCCTCCTGGGTTCAGGCAATTCTCCTGCCTCAGCCTCCTCAGTAGCTGGGATTACAGGCATGTGCCACCATGCCCAGCTAATTTTTTGTATTTTTAGTAGAGACAGGGTTTCACCATGTTGACCAGGATGGTCTCGATCTCTTGACCTCGTGATCCACCTGCCTTGGCCTCCCAAAGTGCTGGGATTACAGGCTTGAGCCACCGCGCCTGGCATACGTGTCAAAGATTTAATGGAATTCATTAATTAATGAGAGAACTAGCAAGAAGTTACAATCAGTTCAAAGGAGAATTCAAAATTTCATACATATATAGGTCCAGCAAGAATGATGAGATAGGCTGGGTGGAGTGGATCTTACCTGGAATCCCAGTACTTTGGGAGGTCAAGGAAGGAGGATCTCTTGAGCCCAGGAGTTTGAGAGCCTGGGAAACATAGTGAGACCCTGTCTCTACCACACTTGCACACACATGTGCATACTCACACAAAATGTTAGGAGTGGTAGTCTGTGCCTATAATCCCAGCTAGGTGGTAGGATTGCTTGAGCCCAGGAGTTTGAGGCTGCAGTGGGCTGTGTACTCCAGCCTGGGCAACAGAGTGAGACTTTGTCTCTAAAAAGAAGAAAAAAAGAGATGAATGTATATATACAAAATTGAGTTATTTCCCCCATGGGGATGGGAGGGATGAAATAATCTTTCCTCCATAAGACGGAATTAATTTGCAAGTCTTATGGACCAGAGTCATTTGTATTATATAATAAACTTTTCTTAAAACTTATTTTGAAAGTCTAACCAAGTGTTGCAGGCGGCATGAGAATATGTGAGGTCATGAGCCAAGTGCCGTCATGGTGATGTTTCCCAAATTCGGCTGCTCCGGTGGCACGCTAGGGCATCCTTACCTGTTGGGTGGATGTAGCCACCAAAGCTGAAGTGATGGAATCAGTCCAAAGCTGCAAAGCTTGCGAGCAGCAGAGCATGACCGCTGGTCCATCTTTCCAATTAGAGTCTATTCTTCCCCAATTCCTTCATTCAGTATTTCCTGAGTGCCCACTGTGTGCCTGGCCCTATGCTGTAACTACAGATTCAGAGATGAACAAAATACCAGAACAAGTTCCATGAGGGCAGGACTTTCTGTGGCCTCCAGTACCTTGATAAATGCTGACATGCAGTAGTTGTTTAAATGACGGTGGAATAAATGAAGACACAGGTGATCTCTATTCACATGGGCCTCCTGAGAAATCCTGTTCAGGGTCCCAAGAGTTCTACAAGATCACGTGTAGCTAGAACATATCAGACCTTCTTGCTTTCTTCGTTGATCTCCTGCAGACCCAATCTGCGGATGAGGACGCTGAGGCTGTGTGGGTATCTGCTTGCCAGAGACAACAGTCGGTGGCAGGCTTGAGCCTGGTTCTGTGGCTGAGAGTTCCATTTTCTCCATGGCTACCTCTTCCAGGATACTACCATCTCATGTTCCCTCTTGATCTTGGACTGCCACCAAGAGTCTGCATATTTCAAAATTGAGAACAAGAAGTTTCAGACCTTAAACTCAGTCCAGTTAGGGGAGGTGGTATTCTTAGACCTAAACACAGTAGATATGTTGGTATCAAAAAAATAATGGCAAGCTGGAATCAACTTAGTGACTCAGTGTTATCACTGGGCTTTTAAAAATTGTGATAAATATATATAGCGTAAAGTCTGTCATTTGAACCATTTTAAAAGTGTACAATTCAGTGGCATTAAGTGCATTCACAATGTGGTGCATCCATCCCTGCCATCCATTTCCAGACCTCTTGCATCATCCCAACCAGAAACTCTATCCCTGAAGCATGAAGTCTCCATTCCTCCTCCCTGAAGACCCTGGTCGCCTCCATCCCACTTTCTGCTATGAGTTTGCCAATTCTAGTACCCGCATGGAACTGGAATCAGACAATACTCGTCCTTTGGGTCTGGCTTCCTTCACTTCAAATAATGTTTTCAAGGGTCATTCATATTGCAGCATGGATCAGAATGTCATTTCTTTTAAGGCTGGTCAGCTAGGTTGAAAGCCTCAGTTCCCTAATTGGAGAAATAGGTATACTTCTAAGGTATAGCCTTGAAAATGTAAAACATTCTCCTGTGCAGATGTGAATAGTTCTAAGTGTCTTTCTGCCCCCCACACCGTGGTCAGGCCATAAGTTTACTTATTTATTATTATTATTATTATTTTGAGACAGAGTCTCACTCTGTGGCCAGATGCCAGCCTAGAGTACAGTGTGGCACAATCTTGGTTCACTGCAACCTCCGCCTCCCAGGTTCAAGCAATTCTCCTGCCTCAGCCTCCCGAGTAGCTGGGACTACAGGCGCACGCCATCACACCCAGCTAATTTTTATATTATTAGTAGAGACGGAGTTTCACCGTATTGTCCAGGATGGTCTCGATCTCTTGACCTTGTGATCCGCCTGCCTCGGCCTCCCAAAGTGCTGAGATTACAGGCTTGAGCCACCGCACCCGGCCAAGTTCACTTATTGAATGAACATTAATAAAAGACTAAAGTTTGAACAATAGCCAGGGAGCACTTCTTTGCCTTTTTTTTTTTCCCTTCCCTAATCCCACCTATGACTAGACACCTTGAGTGACCCTCACCTATCTCTTTCAAACGGATTTGGTAAGAATTTGATTAAAATTGTTTAGCATTATTTTTATTTTTTTTTAGAGACAGGGTCTCACTCTGTCATCCAGGCTACAGTACAGCCGTGCAATCATGGCTCATTGCAGGCTCAACCTCCTAGCTCAAGTGATCCTCCTGAGTAGCACAAGTATGTGCTACCATGCTGGGCTAGTTCTTTAATGTCTTTGTAGAGACAAGGGTTCACCATGTTGACCAGGCTGGTCTCGAATTCCTGGCCTCAAGCCATCCTCCTCGGCCTCCCAAAGTGCTGGAATTATTGGCGTGATCCAGAACAACTGGCCAAAGTTGTCTAGCATTCAGCTGCTCTGGAACCCACCCCTGCTTCTCCTTTTCCCCTACTTTCTAAATATCCGACCCTGTGTTAATTGCTTTATGCTATTTCAGCCTCATGACCCTGGATGGCAGGTGTGGTCCCATTTTACCCATGAGGGAGCTGAAGCTCAGAACTGGAACAGTTTGCTAAAGTTCACCCAGTTAATGACTGGATTAGGATTTAGCCCTGCCTTATTCAGGTTCTGTTCTCAGATCATGATCACACCAGGCATGGGTGTCTTCATGTCCAGCACTCTGAACATGAGCTAGACTGAAGGTGACTTGGAAAGGCCTCAGAGTCTAGAACAGCAGTCTCAAGGGGCAGAGCCACGTGGTGGAGATTAATCTGGTTGGTCCAAAGTAGCAGTAGAAAAATAGAAGGCCTTATGAAATAAGCTGGGGTTTCGCATGAGAAAGTAGGGAGATTCCGGGCATCTGAGATAGAATTGCAGGTCCTTGCCCTAGTTCTGATCATGTTGGCATCATCTGTTCCTATTTGCGAATTGCTCTAGAATTGATGAAGTGCTTTTAGTGCCACTACCTCAGTGGTATTCCAGTGTTATTACTGAAGAAAACAGGCATAAGGAAACCAATCCCTTCCAGGCCAGCATTGGAATATGGGGGTGCAGGGAGGGGTATACTCATGTTTTATTTTTATTTATTTATTTATTTTTGAGATGGAGTCTTGCTCTGTCACCCAGGCTGGAGTGCAGTGGTGCAATCTGGGCTCACTACAACCTCTGTCTCCCGGGTTCAAGCAATTCTTGTGCCTCAGCCTCTCGACCTTGAGTAGCTGAGATTACAGGTATGCACCACCATGCCCGGCTAGTTTTTTTATTTTTTAGTAGAGATGGGATTTCACCATGTTGGCCAGGCTGGTCTGAAACTTCTCACCTCAAATGATCTGCCTGCTTTGACCTCCCAAAGTGCTGGGATTACAGGCATGAGCCACCAAGCCTCATGTTTCGTTTTTTTCTTTTTTTTTTTTTAAGATAGTCTTGCACTGTCACCCAAGCTGGAATTCAGTGGCACCATCTCGGCTTACTGCAACCTCCACCTCCTGGGTTCAAGCAATTCTCCTGCTTCAGGTTTTCAAGTAGCTGGGATTACAGGCACCCACCACCATGCCTGGCTGGTATTTGTATTTTTAGTAAAGACGGGGTTTTACCATGTTGGCCATGCTGGTCTGAAACTCCTGACCCCAGGTAACCCGCCTGCCATGGCCTCCCAAAGTGCAAGGATTACAGGCGTGAGCCACCATGCCTGGCCTACTTTGTGGTCTTGACTTGTGTGCCCTCTCATTCCACCCAGGGAAGCTCTCCGCTGGGCCCTCTTCAGCATGCAGACCACGGGTCACGTGCTGCTTGGCACCTCCTGTTACCTACAGCAGCTCCTCAATGCTACGGAAGAAGGACAGCCCCCCAAGGACAAAGCTTCATCCCTCATCCCGCCCTGTCTGAAGATACTGCAGTGAAAGCCCAAGCCCTTGGAAGCTTTCCCCAGCGAAGGACTAGACTGGGGGCCCCATGCTCAACTGGTAGTGCCCACAAGCCTGGCAGCTGTAGAGCCGCTAACCTCCCTACACCTCCCTCACCGTGCAGGGCCCTGAGTGAGGAGGAGAGTCTGGGAACCTGTGTGGGTTGGCCAAAGGAGAATCTCAGGCTCCTAGCCTGGCCCAGCTCCTTCCTGCCCAAGGCAGCTTAGCCAACCCAGACTGGCCCCTGCAGCTGTGGCATGACGTCTGCCCCTCAGCAATCCGGCCCTGTAGGCTGCACTTTCATGGTGCTCTCGACCTCCTGGCCCCCAATCCCAGAACATTCCTGAGTGAATTCTCAAGCACACCAGGATGTGATATTAGGGAGTTTGCAATAAATTATTGATGCTGATATATCTTCTTTGCCTGTGTTATTTGGGGGTGGGGTTCCATCTGGAAGGTTGGAGAGGGCTAAGGGAAGAGAAGAATCTATTGTCAAACTATTCTCTATAAGGTAGGATTACAGATAACAGCACCTTTTCTATCAGAGGGAAAAAAAAGAGCTGGGCACAGTGACATGTGCCTGCAGTCCCAGCTACTCAGCAGGCTGAGGTGGGAGGCATCCCTTGAGCCTAGGAGATCAAGCCAGGCCTGGGACATAATAGCGAGACCCCAGTCTCTCTAAAAAGCAAAATTGCAGTTGATTTTGAAACTAAAGTCTGCTGAATTTGAGACTTGAGTTGACCATGTAATCAATACCATAAGTAACAATTTCCTAATTAAATTCACCTATCAGAAAAGCTTCAATTGAGCAGGTGGGATTAATCACTCTTCTAATTTCTCAGTGTCCCATTTTGTAATAACCGTTTAAGTGGTTAGGTGAAAAAGTACTACTCGAGCTGTAAGGCATTGCTCCGTCAATGCCCAACCTAACTTGCCAGACAGCTTATTTTTCATGTTCAGGACTTTCAACCTCAGGATTTCGAAGTGGGCTCATAGGTATCCCCAAAGAGTATGAGTTTTTCATCAGTGTGAGCTGGAATTTTCCAATATAGAACAACTCAAGACGAACATGAAAGGCCGAACTTAGGCTGGGCGTGGTGGCTCATGCCTGTAATCCCAGCACTTTGGGAGGTTGAGGTGGGTGGATTAGCTGAGGTCGGGAGTTTGAGACTAGCCTGATCAATGTGGTGAAACCCAGTTTCTACTAAAAACACAAAAAAATTAGCTGGGCATGGTGGCAGGTACCTGTAATCCCAGCTACTTGGGAAGCTGAGGTAGGAGAATCGCTTGAACCCAGGAGGCGGAGGTTGTGGTGAGCCGATATTGTGCCACTGTACTCCAGCCTGGGTGACAGGGCAAGACTCCATTTCAAAAAAAATTAAAAGCTGAACATGTAGGTGACTGTTTTATTTAGTCTGTTACTGAAAGATTTTAAAACTTGGCCAGGTGCAGTGGCTCATGCTTGATGTCCTGGCACTTCAGGAGGCCGAGGCAAGAGTACCGCTTGAGGCCAGGAGTTCAAGACCAGCCTGGGCAACATAGCCAGACCCTGTTTCTACACAAGATAATAAAAAAAATTAGCAGAGCATGGTGGCTGTAGTCCCAGCTACTCAGGAGACTGAGGCAGGAGGTTCACTTGAGGCCAGGAAGTCACAGCTGCAGTGACTCTGATTGTGCCACTACACTCAAGCCTGGGCAACAGAATGAAAAAAAACAAGAAGATTCAAAAACCCTATCACAGCCAGGCATGGTGGCTCATATCTGTAATTCCAGCACTTTGGGTGGCCGAGGTGGGTGGATCATGAGGTCAGGAGTTTGAGATCAGCCTGGCCAACATGGCCAAACCTCATTTCTACTAAAACTACAAAAAATTTTCTGGGTGTGGAGTTGGGCATCTGTAATCCCAGCTACTTGGGAAGCTGAGGCAGGAGAATTGCTTGAATGTGATAGGTGCAGGTTGCAGTGAGCAAAGATCATGGCATTGTGTTCCATCTTGGGTGACAGAGTGAGACTCCATCTCAAAAAAAAATCCAAAGACAAGGCAAAACAAAACAAAACCTGTTGTTTTAGGACTCTTTCTATAAAGCCTATTTGGATTTAGTAAATACTAAGGCAAAGGCCTGTATTACCAAAGCTGGTCTGGGAGCTATTGCTGGCAGCACACCCGAACCCTGCAGCCTGTGGGTGAAGCTGCTGAAGCTCACTGAAGAGGGCCTGCTATTCTGGGTTCTCCTGCTCTTGCAATTAGGGCTAGAGGCTGGCCCAGTGCCAGGCTGGCTCTATGGGGTGGGCCTTCTGGCAGGAAGGCCTGATGTTTGTATTAGCACAGAAGCTATCCCCGTCCACCCTTGCCAAAACTGTGGCCAGGCCTACCTGCTCCTCCTGTAAAGTGCTCAGGAACAGAGTTAGAGTGGGGGTGGGAAGTTCGGTATTTGTCCCAAGCTTCCGTCCTCCTGAGATCTGGAGTTTCATAAGTGAATCTTGAGCAACTGCCCACAGTCTCTTGGCACTGAGCCCAGGGAAAACAAGGTTCTTCCTTTTCTTCCAGGACCTCAAGGGCTAATGGAGTCAAAGCAGCGGTGGTCAGTGAACAGGAAAGGGCAGCCTTTGATGAGGCTTGGGGCTGGGGAGGGAAGAGTCCAAACAGCAAGGGAGAGCCAGCCTCTGCAGGGCCTGCTGGTCCTAGTCGGGGAGTGGCCTTTCCTAGAGTCCCTGCACAGCCAGGAGCAGCTGTCATCAAGGTGGGCTGTATCCCAGCCCCTCGGCTGAGCCTTTTCATTTGCTCAAGCTGTGTTCCGGAATGCACAGGATGCCTTTCAGAAGGAGGATTCTAAATCCCAGGGGCCTGTGAGGGCAAAGTCACGTATCTGAGCACAAAACGAGAGAACCATTTGTGTTTTTGCCACACTTCTCGGCAGCACTGTCCATATTTGTGCACATTTTTTTTTTGAGACAGTCTCACTCTTGTCACCCAGGCTGGAGTGCAGTGGTGCAATCTCGGCTCACTGCCACCTCTGCCTCCAGGGTTCAAGCGTTCTCCTGCCCAAGCCTCCCAAGTACCTGGGATTACAGTGACCTGCCACCATGCCCAGCTAATTTTTGTATTTTTAGTAGAGACAGGGTTTTGCCATGTTGGCCAGGCTGGTCTCAAATTCCTGACCTCAGGTGATCCACCTGCCTCGGACTCCCAAAGTGCTGGGGTTACAGACATGAGCCACCGTGCCCAGCCCTTGCGCACATAATTTTATTTTATTTGAGACGGAGTGTTGTTCTGTCATCCAGGCTGGAGTGCAGTGGCATGATCTTGGCTCACGGCAACCTCCACCCCTCAGGTTCAAGAGATTCTCGTGCCTCGGCCCTCCGAGTAGCTGGGATTACAGGCGTGTGCCACCATGCCTGGCTAATATTTATATTTTCAGTAAAGATGGGGGTTTCACCACGTTAGCCAGGCTGGCCTCAAACTCCTGGCCTCAAGAGATCCATCTGCTTTGTTTTCCTAAAGTGCCTTGGATTCCCAAAGTGCTGGGGTTACAGCTGTGAGCCACCATGCCTGGCATGTGCACATCATTTTAAAAACTGAAATCTTTTACACACATTATCTTCCAAGAAAAAGAAGAAAAAAAAACCCTGGTATCTTAGAAAACATTAAATTTATTGACATAATTTATATACAATAAAATGTATTTTATTTACAGGTATGTGGTTCAGTAAGTTTTGGCAAACTTATAGTTATGTAACCACCATTTCTAACAAACCAAAAAGCTGCCATCTGTCCCTTTACAGTCATGTAAATAGAATTTTCTAAAATGTCATGTAAATATCATACTGTCTTAATATTTTTCTATTTTCATAAATTAAAAACATTTTAGAAAATTATTATGAAGCATAAAGTCTTTTATATCTGGCTTAGATTTTTCAACTCTGTATATGCGTGTGAAGAAGAAATATATCAGTGAGGTAAAACATTTAAGCAGTTCCAAAAGGTAAACATAATTGTTCATCTAACCCCATCTGATTCCTTCAGAAGTAAACATCATCTTGTTTTTGTGTGTACTTTCAGAAACACAGAAGGATGTAAATAAGAAATAGACATCCATCACAGCCTGGGCTCAGTGGCTCATGCCTGTAATCCCAGCACTTTGGGAGGCCAAGGTGGGCAGATCACCTGAGGTCAGGAGCTTGAGACCTGGCCTGATCAACAAGGAGAAACCCTGTCTCTACTAAAAATTAGCCCAGCGTGGTGGTGCATGCCTGTAATTCCAGTTACTTGGGAGGCTGAGACATAAGAATCGCTTGAACCCAGGAGTCGAAGGTTAAGGTGAGCCGAGATCATGCCATTGTACTCCATTCTGGGCAACAAGAGCGAAACTCTGTCTCCAAAAAAAAAAGAAAAAAGAAATAGACATGCATCACATATGCTTATTCTGGTCACATGGTCCTTTACTTTCCTCTTTTAATATATTCTGGAGATTAATTCACATGAACTCCTGTAGAATTATGCATTCTTCCCTCGATAGCTCCATGGTACAGATGTGCCAGAGCTGATTTAGCCACTCGTCTGATAGATTTAGATTTATTGACAATATTTTGCTAATGCAAACCATAAATTGAAAGTTAAAGTGCTCTTAGCAAATAAAACAATACAGAGATTGCATGGAACTTCTCTACAGTTGTTATCATAAGTTAGAACTGTTTGTTCTTCGCCTTTTTCCTACTTCACATCTTGTTTCTCTTTGTTGCTTTTCCTCTCCTCCTCTGCCCGAGCCCCCCACACACCTGCTCCTCCTGGTGAATTCCCATTCCTTCTTCACCACCCATTAATCAGACCCCTGCTGGGAGCTTTACCAGACTGCGCCTCTGTTCCAGGCTCTTGTCTCTCTGCACCTCCCCAGCAGCATTTTGCAAGACAGTTTGTGATGCTGTAGCCTAACTCTGACACTTCCGTGACCTTGTAGGGGGCCTGAGTCTTGCTGATCTGTGTTTGCATCACACAGATGCCAGAGTTAGCATTCAAAAAATGTTGGGTGAGTGAGTGATGATGTCTTAGACTGATTTCTCCTGTAGAGCTCACCACAGTATAAGGTCGTTTAGGCCGACTGACTGTGCCATGGACGGCATGGTAACCTCTGTGACCTGCATGAACACCCTAGATGAGTTCCTGGAAATAGAAAGTCTGAAGCAACTGGAAAACCACAAAAGGTGAAGAAATGATCAACACCTGCAGCACCTAATAAACTTGAGACATTCTATTTTTCCTTATTCCCACCTCAACTGATAAGGCAATTGGACTTTGTAACCAACCTTGGTCAACCTTGTGACTCCAGACCCTATGACCCCCTCCCAGCTTCCAAACACCACCCTAAACTGTAACTTCTGTAACTTTCCACTGCCTACTCCAAACCTATAAAAC